TGTGAGTTTGGGAACCCTAGTTCACCTCCGTCTTCTCCGCCTCGTTCTTCGATCGGCGAGTCTCTCCGGTGATCACATCCACACTCTCCGGCCGTAAACAGCAACCGCACCGGAAATATCTAACCACGTCGCCCTTCACCTCCTATACCAACTTCACGGTTCGAAAGCCTATTCGAAAAACGCGGTATCTGAGATTCTCGCTATTGTTCTTAAGAATTTGAATTGTGTGGTTGGTTGCCTAGAGTTGCAATCGAAATCAGTTACACCCTTGGGTTTCACCATTGTCATATTATCCAAGCTTGAACTTTCATATCTTGCATTCAAGTTGTTCGATATATTGCCCAAACCATTCTTCAATTAATTATGGGCAAAAAGAAGGATACCCAAGCTGAACCAACCAAGAAGCGAAAAACGGGCGAATCCTCGTCCCGAGATGCCCCTTCGGAAGGTGAACGGAGGGACCTTCGGCAACAATATGGCTCTACATTCTCTATTTTTTCACAAAAAGAGGGGGAAATATATTCCTGTCTCTCGCAAAAAGAGTTGGTGAGGCCTAAGGTGGTGTATTGGAACCTTTTGAACGACTTGGGAATTCTTAGTGATGTGCTGAAGTACTTGAAGGTCCTAAACCTGACCGAATATGCCAAGGTCGAGGAGCGTTCTTATAGAAGTCTCATGCTCGAGTTCTATAGCTCATTCATGCTCGCCGATGGGAATGAGTACTTCACTTGTCGGCTATGGGTTAAGGAATTGAGGGTGGACAATGCCGTGATGAAGAAAGTTTTCGGGTTCACTTTGGCCGCACAAGAAGCAAGGCAATCGAGTTCGACGCGAAGAAGAGTTGGGCCGAGCTTTCACCGCACACGACTTGGGACTCCGCCGGCATGTAAAACGGGCTCATCCAGGACTTGGCCACAGTCGTCGTGCACAGGTTCATAAGCTAGAACATTTCTGGGAAAAAAGAGGCGAATAAGGTGAGTGAGGTCGAGCTTTACCTCCTCTGGGCAATGCGTGCGGGAGTGCAAGTGTGTTCTATGACCTTTCTGTAGAACACCTTGCAAGAGATTGCACTCAATCAACGGGGAATTCCGACACTTGGGCGTGTGGTGACCGCTCTTGCAAAACACTTCAAAATTCCTACACAAGCCCATAATGTCGACGTGACGTGGTCGGTAGAAAGCACCCCGATGAGGTGTATCAACGAGCATGAGCTAAAACAGTCTGACCTTATCACGAACCGAACCACCATTCAGGAGTACACAAACCGTAATGCTTATAAGGCCTACTTTAAAAAGCTCTAGAAGAGTGCACATAATTCCGATCAGGCGGGGTCATCTCGGTAGCCGAAAGAGGGAGAGCAGATGAATGTCGACGGCACCCATTTCCTCCCACCTCCATCCACGTGGACACCCGGCCCGCACCAATAGCTCGAAGACCACAGCCCGAAGCTCCTCCACAGCAGCCACCAGGATGGTGGACCTCTTTCCAGACTCAGTATACGGCCAACATCCGCTCTATTAACGGCAGATTTGATGCTCAGGATAGTAGGTTGGCCACCATCGAGAGCCGTCAGAGCACACAGTGGGCCAGCAGGGAGACCCAACAGAAGAGTCAGTGGGACCATTGGGAGATCCAGCAGAAGAGTCAGTGGGACCATTGGGGGACCCAACAGCAGACCCACTGGACTCAGGTAGGTACGCACTTCGATAGTCTTGCTGAAGTTCTCCGGTCTATTCGCGAGCGGCAAGACCAGCAGGATGCTCGGCTGGAAAGCTAGGATCAGAGATTCACCCAGTCAGACACCCGTTGGACCTCGGGACCCAGTCAGCCATACCCCTCTCCGCCACCACGACCTTTAGATGCACAGTGAATTCTCACTGTGCTTTGAATATTGTTCGCACATTTTCATTATGTCCTATCCTAGGTTTTGAATGTTGTTCGCAGTTTTGATCTTTAGAACATCTTTTTCGGATTCCTTTTTCACTCGGATTTTGACTTTGAACCTTCGTATTAATCGTAAGCTTCTATTTTCGTTTTACTAATGAATGCCATGGCTTTCTTTAATATGAATGTTTGTGTGGAGATCGCTATGAGTAACTAAATCCTCTATCTAGGGTTAGGGGATTGTCGTAACAGGTTTCAAAATTTGCGCCATGTTTATTTCTTGCCAAGAAACAGGTTTCTTGAGAGAAACTGGTTTCTTGCCGAGAAACAGGTTTCTTGGCAAGAAACTGGTTTCTTGAGCGAGAAACAGGTTTCTTGCCAAGAAACTATTTTTTCTTGCCAAGAAACTGGTTTTTTGAGCGAAAAACTGGTTTCTTCGCAAGAAACTGGTTTCTTGAGCGAAAAACTGGTTTCTTGCCAAGAAACCTGTTTCTTGACAAGAAACGGGTATCTTGAGCAAGACACGGGTATCTTCACAACAATCGGGTATCTTGAGCAAGACACGGCCTGTTGACATGTCATCTTAAATTTTTTGGGACTTCACAAACTTCACTCCAATTTTCATTCATCTCAAAAAACTTGTTTTTGCTCAAGAAACTGGTTTCTTGCCAAGAAACTGGGAAGAAACTGGTTTCTTGGCAAGAAACCAAGAAACCAGTTTCTTGACAAGAAACGGGTATCTTCAGCAAGACACAGGTATCTTCACAACAAATGGGTATCTTGAGCAAGACACGGCCTGTTGACATGTCATCTTAAATTTTTTGGGACTTCACACACTTCACTTCAATTTTCATTCATCTTGAAAAACTTGTTTTTGCTCTAGAAACCAGTTTCTTGCCAAGAAACTGGTTTCTTGAGCGAAAAACTGGTTTCTTGCCAAGAAACCAGTTTCTTGGCAAAAAACCAGTTTCTTGACATGAAACGGGTATCTTGAGCAAGACACGGGTATCTTCACAACAAACGGGTATCTTGAGCAAGACACGGCCTGTTGACATGTCATCTTGAATATTTTGGGCTTCACACACTTCACTTCAATTTTCATTCATCTCAAAAAACTTGTTTTTGCTCAAGAAACTGGTTTCTTGAGCGAAAAACCGGTTTCTTGCCAAGAAACTGGTTTCTTGCCAAGAAACTGGTTTCTTGGCAAGAAACCAGTTTCTTGGCAAGAAACCAGTTTCTTGAGCAATCCCCCAAAATCTGTGAAGGTACCTATTCATCGCCGTGGCCGCGACCAAATAATTCTCCGCGGCCGCGACCAGCCTCCGCGGCCGCGGGACACATCCGAGGCCGTGATATGTTTTCCGCTGAACTTGAAATTTGGGACCCAAAAAATACTCGCCGCGGTCGCGGCTATGGAAAGCCCCGCGGCCGCGACCACTTATTTTTTTTTTTCTTTATTTTATTCATTCAAAATTTTAGGGACTTCACACACTTCACTTCAATTTTCAATCATCTTAAAAATAACTACAGCAAACATAACAAAACTACACACATCAATATGTCGCACAAAGTTATTACATTAACCACACACAAATCAATCATAAAAATTACAACCCAATTATGTCTTCCCACAAACAATACATTCATTTACAATCCATAAAAAACAACATATAAATGAAAAAAAAAAGCATATAAACTAGGTAATGTTTTGAGGACACTTGTTCCTACGGTGGCCAGGTTGCTTACATTTACCACACAAACGAACTTTGGTAGCGGGACATCCAGATTGAATTGGTTGCTCAACGTTTTGGACTAAGGCAACACAAGTTGTAGAGTAATGCCCACTTTTGTGGCATTGTGTACAAAATGATTTACTTCGAGAGCTAGAAGAAGGGCCAGTAGAAGGTATGCGGTTTGACCTCGGTCTTCCGGCTTGCTTGGGATTAATAGGGCATCTGAGAACCATCAAACTAGGTGATGTAGTTAAGTCCCAAGTACTTGGATGCGCAATTGGCATGATTATGGGCTCGTAAAGTTTGCGCCATGTTGTGGTCTTGTAGTAGTCGTGCACATATCCATACACCGATTCGTTTGCCGTCCTAAAAATGGTACATGCATATAAAACAAATTAAAGGAACACAATATAATATTTTCTTATGTGTAAGATAACAATATGTATGTAAACATTGAGGCTTTTAATAAATAAAAAAAAGAATGAAAAAATTACCCGATAGCCTTAATCGCATGTGAACAGGGCAATAAATCCACCTGAAAGAGATAACAAGTGCATGTCCGATCATTCAAATTGACAACAAAATTCTTGACCTCGTCCTTCACGTGGTAAATGTAGTGATTGATATTTGAAGCTTCCATTTGGTTGCTGCAGCTTTATAATCCATTAAACGCTTAGATATTGATGGAGGAACTTCACACTCAGTCTTTTCTGTCTCGACACGTCTTTTGTGAAACCACTCTTGCATAATGTTTTGAATACATTCAAATAATGAGCAAACAGGCAATTTCCTTGCCCAACGCAACCTATTGTTAAGCACCTCACAAGCATTTGACGTCATGAAACTATATTGTCTCACAGGACATTGACTTCGTGCCCACCTTGTTGGAATGGCTTCATCAATCACAACTTTTTTTGTGTTAGGATATTTTGCCGCAAGCATGGCCATCGACTTCTCGTACACAACAGGAGAATAAGTGTATGAAACTTTCATATATAAACCAACAGCTTTAGACCCGTGACTTCGAATATTTTGTCGAAGGTGGTAGGAACATGTGGCATGTACGGCTTCAGGGTAGACAACCTCTATAGCAGACTTTATGATCGGGTGGCGATCAGAAACAATTACTAAATTTTCCGGACATCCGAAAGTGGAGAGAATCTTTTGGAGAAACCACATCCACGCACTATGACATTCCTTATCGCCGATACCAAATGCCAAAGGGAAAATTTGTTTATTTCCGTCCTTTGTAGTTGCTACAAATAAGATGTCTTTATACTTACCCTTCAAATGCGTACCGTCAATCACAATAACATGCCGACAATAACTGAGGAAGCCTGCAGACGCATTAAAAGAAATGAAAGCATACTCAAACACGTCATCTTAATCAGTCTCAATGTATGCCGATGTTCCAGGATTTTCCTTCAACGACATATAAAAATACGCCGACAAAAGTTCCCAGGATTTCTTATGATCTCCATAAATGAAGTCGTAGGCGGCGTTTTGAGACCTCAGAGCTGTATTGTATTTTAGCTTAATGCCATGATCACGCTCCATGTCACCCATAATCTCTGCAAGCTTTAATAATCGGCCATCTGTCAACAACTTCGGCGCGAATAATGCTCCAATGATCTTTGCAGGCAATTGTCGAGGGGCTGAATGATTTAGGTTAACTGAGCATGTATGTGGATGGATAAATTTTGAAATTTTCCAACTACCTCCAGTCAGTGCATTCGCAAAAAGCAAGAATGGGAAATTTTTATGCCTGCACACAACCTTTAACCGAGAATTTGAAGATCTCGGTGTTCGGAACTCCACTTTATGCTTCAAATGGTATAAACCTACTTTTACCAACAATTCTTCCTCACTTTCAATGACAACGCCTTTGTCTAATTCATGATCTATCATTGACGGCTCTTCAGACGAAGGATGAACATCAACCTTGTGAAAATTGGCTTCGGGAATCCTCCAACCGCTACTCGAACGAGTAGCGATTTCATTCAAATCATCCTCTTCAATAGCAACCCCTCCAGAAAGGTCAAGCCGAGGAACATTGTGGATCGCTATACTCTTCTTGTTGCGTAAAATATGCTCATTTAAACCACCCATCATGTTTGAGGGGGACACAACATTGTCGTCGATATCTTCATCTTCTTCAGTTATGACGTCCGGATCATCAATGTTATCATCCATCTCATATAGGAGATTCATCATTGCAAGGATTATCATTCATATTCGTCTTATTATTGTAAGGATAACAAAATTGCTCGTTATCATCACCTTCATCATCAACTTCATCATCACCTTCATCATCACCTTCATCATCAACTTCATCATCACCTCCATCATCAAATTCATCATCAACTTCATCATCATGACCTTCACCATCACCATCATCAATCCCAGTTGAATACCCATTGAACCCACTATCCACACCCCAATCGACATGTTCGGGGGATTGTCGTGAGGCACTATGTTGAATTGATTCTACCCTTTTAGAGGTGTCAGGCACCATGTTGTCATTGTTCGCCGGATTACATGTTGATGGTTGACTCATTATAGGTGGATACACAACACCATATGGATAGAGAGGTGGGCCCTGAGCAGCAAATAAAGTCATAAACCCACCTAGATAGCCATACGAAGGGTACATTGGTACATTCGCCTGAGTATACGGACTTGGAGTATGTTTCGGCTGTAATGTGACATAGATGGTAGGTATTGTGAACATGACATACACATTTCGCATATGTGATTCACAAGAGATACGCCATTTCTCCACCTCTCCATTATCACCAGCCACTAAAAAGAGAAATCGATAGTCGCACATGTTTCTATCTCCACGAACAATGTCATGAACCCTATTCATGAAAGCTTCGTATGATGACGTCCTAAGACATAAAAAATTCATTTCCCTTTCTCCATTTTTGTACACATTCCCATCCCAAAAACCACTGTAAACAATTCGCACTTTACCAACGTCCATCTGAAAAAATTAAATAAATAAAAAAAAATCTTAATAAATAATTCATAAACAGTTTCTTACGAGCAAAGTTAATTGAGCAAAAAATATGTTACATCTTGTTCAAGAAACTGTTTGATGCTCAAGAAACTACTTTCCTGACAAGAAACGAGATTTCTTGTCAAGAAACTAGTTTCTTGTTCAAGAAACCTGTTTGATGCTCAAGAAACGGGTTTCTTGTTCAAGAAACATGTTTCTTAAGCATCAAACATGTTTCTTGCTCAAGAAACTGCGTGTTGAACCGGACAAAAATCTTTATTGTCCTTTCTTGTTCAATAATCCGTTTTTTGTTCAATAAATTGTTTATTCTTCAATAAGCGATTCTTCAACTCCTAAAACTCCAAATAAATGGCTCAAGCACAAAAAAGTAATGAACTCTAACACTGTTGGAACCCACGAGGATCTCGATATGCACAAATCACAGACAAACATTCAACATA